GGCATCAGGTGAGCAAGCTAGTGAAACGTTGCACGCGCAAAAGAGAAGGTCTGCACACATCCAAAAACGTATTTTAAATGCAAAATTGATTTTAGTGCGCTCTAAATACTTTTTTCTTTGCAAAACGAACATTTTCTCCACAAAACTCAGATCGCGCGCGTACAAAATGCACTTTTGTGCGCTCAAAATATGATCTTTCGTGCGCAGAATTGTGGCAGAGATCTAATCCTATATTGGTCCCACCTTCTGTTCAGAGGAAAGTACGCAGAGGTTTTTTTGCGTGGTTCTGCATGCACAGCACTTGGTCACACAACATTTGTACAAACGTCAATTAGTGCTGAATTTGATTTATTCTATTGTATTTTTTGTTTTAAGTATTTTATTTACATCAATATCCATTTTATATTTTTATTTATTATTATTTATATTATTTATATGAAAAATGTTTCTTTGTACTTATGTTTATTTCTTTTATATTATTTTTTAATGTGTGTGTGTGTGTGTGTGTGTGTATTGTATACAAAACAATCATACCAAATGAATAAATGAAATGTGCCCAGATCACAGGCAATTTAAATTGTAAATTGTAAAATTTAAAAACCATATAAACGAGGAAGACCCAATGATATTCCTTTGCTTTTTATTATTTTTTAGGGGTTCATTGGTCATCTAAAGACAGTACAGGAAAATACAATTAGAAAAAGGTAATAATAATAATTATAATAATAATAAATAATAATAATAGTTTATAAGTATTCTTGCATGTCTGTGAAATGTAAGTAGCCTCAAAGTTGTTCACAGTTCATGTATCACACCTTCCAGGATTAGAACCTACATATTTTAACCACTAACCTGTTACCAATAAATTTTGGATTAAAAATGTCAGTATCACCAATATTGTACATTGAAGCATTGTCCACTAGAGTGTGACATTTGTTAGGTTTACTCAGAATTCAAATTCTGTTGCTGGAGATTCCAGAATCTTAAGTAAATATGTTTTTACAATGTAAATACACATATTATAAAAGTACATTTCTCAGATACTTTAACATTTAACTTGTTTTGATTTTCGAATAATAATATAGCCTAATAAATTCTAATCATTATTCATTTCAATTCTTTTAAATATTACATTTACATTTCATTTTGATTAGAGTGATTAAAAAATAGTATTTTTAATAAATATACGCTTTTATTCTAAAATAACATCCCTGCAGAGAACCACTGTTCACAAATTCCGGTCCTGGGCGGACGTACAGGCGCTTGTAGTCCTACGTCTGCATTACTGTTGGTTTAAGAATGCACAAAAAAACTACAATGCCCGTCGTGCTTCTCAGAAGAACTTTACCGCGTTGGTGGGCGTGCGCGTGTCAGTGTACAGTAAAGGATTGTAAACAGAGGTTCTTTCTTATGCTTAGCTTCGTTGGGTTGAAATTACATATTTGAAAAGTACCAAGGCTGTACATATTTGAAAAGGAACAAGGCTGAATAAGAAATACATAAAAGGAGAACGTGTTCCAGTTATATTATCAGCACTTATTAAATGACAAAATACAAAAGATTAAACGATAATAAATTGTACATCCTTAGTTGTTAATCCCGTGATTTAAATATGAGGTATGAGTTAAAATATCTATAAAGACGCTATTAGCTTACCTGCTATACCTGCTATGGACCTGTCATTGCGCAGTTGCAAAAAGTTTGTGCATTTGGACCTGAAAGGGGCACCTCCTAGAATCGGCTACTTAATTGAGGTACAACTTCTTTTACTCTTATATAACTGTTTAAATAATATAAGGAATTAACCACGATTATGTTGCTACAGCTGATCCAGTTATTTGCTGATCTTGGTGCCAATGGCTTACTCATTGAATATGAGGATATGTTTCCCTATGAAGGAGAGCTGAAAGTTCTTCAATCTACGACTCAGCCTCCATACAGGTGAGTATATATTTTCAAAATATTATTATTAATAATAATTTTTTATGTTATTTTATTTTAAAAAAATTTGACTGATAAAAATACCCAATATCCAAACAGCCGTGAGGAGATTGTGTCTATCCAGGATGCTGCCAATAGTAGAGGGCTGGAGATCATTCCCCTGGTGCAGACGTTTGGACATTTGGAAGTAACTATGAAATGTATTTTTGTCATTTACATAGAGGAAGAAATATATATCCATTTGAATTATGCATATTAAAACTCTTTACTATTTTAAAATGTTCTCAATCAGTTTGTCCTGAAGCACGAGGTGTTTAGAGATCTGCGGGAGTTGGACTACTGTCTGGGCACCCTGAACCCACACCGTGATGGAGGAGATAGGCTAGTGCAAGACATGCTACAACAAATCATGAAGCTCCACCCTAAAAGTACCAGCCTGCACATCGGAGCCGATGAGGTACAGCCCAACCCTCTGTCAATAAAATGTCACCTTGTGGCTACAATATAATAATTCTTATAAGTGAACTGTTGTTAAAATTTAAGTTTAGGGTGCTAGTTTTATATTGGTCTGGTGATAATAACTTTTTTTTTTTTTAATAGGTGTACATGCTCGGTCTCGGAGATGAATCCAAACAGTGGTTAAGTGTTCCAGGTCGGAGTGTTCACCAGCTGTTCCTCAGTCATGTCATTAAGGTGGCAAAGGGCATTCAGGAGAGTTCGCCCAACCTTAAGTTGATCATGTGGGATGATATGCTCAGGTCCATGAGCCCTGAGACCATTAAAGGCGAGCATTTAACATATTTATCACCTATTTTGGAAAATGATCATGATTTTTTTGCATGTAAGAGGAAAGGATGTATTTATTAAATATTTTCATATGTATAAGTGCATGCTTAAAGGGATATTTCACCCAAAAACAAAAATTCTATGATCGTTTACTCACCCTCATATCATTCCAAAACAGTGAACCCCATTGACTGAACAAAAAACCCACTTTGTTCAAACGTTTTCATATATAATCTTTCAAACTAATTATCTTCTTTTGAATACATTAAATTAAGCTTTTGTATACAGTAGGGGGTTTTTGCAGGTGAGTTTGGAACTTAAAACAAAATTTAAGGGGTTGTTCACTGAGGACGCTATTTTTAAATGGTCAGTCTTTGACTCATGTGACACGTTTCAATGTTTTTCTGGTATCTGGAACGTGCTCTGCATTCAACTGTTCGGTTCCATTCCACAGAGCTGCATCTAGCTGCTTTTGAAGAGTGAATATAGTGACACTTCCCTTCAGTAGCTTTTTACATGCTTATGATACTATCACCTTCACTGGGCAAAAATATCTTACTTAACTGTTCCACATCCTCCACATTGACTCAACGTGAAATGAAATGAGTCAAATGAAAATCTTATATAAGAAATTACCAAATCAATCTAAAGTCTATGCCAAATGAATTATATTGCATTTTCCAATTCACGGCTATCACTGTTATACTGTATATACACTTTTTTGCATTATACTAACAATCATTTCTATCCAATGTATGATCTTATTCTAGAGAGTGGTCTTGTTGGATTAGTGCAACCAATGTTGTGGGATTACAGCCCAACTCTGGATGTGGATAACACTGGTAAGTTGGGTCAGTAGATTAAAAATGCACTTTTCAGTTTTGAGTTATTTGGTCTTGAAAATGCTTGATTATTTTACATTTACTTTTCCAGTCATGCTAATGGAACGATATACGTCTGCGGGTATGTCACAGCAGTGGGCCGCTAGCTCTTTTAAAGGCTCGACCACTGTGCACACCTGTGTGACCAGCACTCAGAGACATGTGGACAACCATTTGCAGTGGCTCAAAGTGGCATCCAGCCTGTCAGCTGACATTGAGCTACAGGGAATTGCACTAACTGGATGGCAAAGGTTAGATGACATCTGGACTATCACTAGAATCGCAGTTGTCTTACTAGAGATTGTTAAATGTGAGCCAAAATCATCACAATTAAAAGAACCAAAGACTTAAACTACTTCAGTCTGTGTGCATTGAATTTATTTAATACACGAGTTTCACAATTTGAGTTGAATTACTGAAATAAATGAACTTTTCCACGACATTCTAATTTATTGAGATGCACCTGTATGTTTCTTTTTTTCCTCTTAAGATATGACCACTTGTCCGTTTTGTGTGAGCTGATGCCTGTTGGTTTGCCCTCTTTGGCATCCTGTTTGCAAACTCTTGTGCACGGTCAGTCACTTTCATTTTCACTCCTTTACATTTCTTTTTTTTTTTTTGTACTAGAGAAGGGTGATACATTGATGGCAGTATATAAATATTAAGAATGCTAAACTCACTATTGCTGTTCACTGTGATTCAGGTGGCTTTACTGAAGAGGCTCAAAAGAAGGTGGTTAAGACACTTGGTACTGTGGATGTAGGAGACACTGAGAGGTATCGTACATTCATATTCATGCCCTGAAAGATAAAAAGCATGTGTGAGTGTAACACTAATAAACCTCAAGGGTTACTTTTAAATAGACTCATTTACAGAATATTCTTTGGCCTGTGTGTCCTAGATTGTCTTCCAGGACGTCTTGCTCCTTTGCTGGAGCAAAACTAGCTGAACTCATAGTGAAACTGACGTCTTTGCTGGAGTCTACAGAGCTGAGACATTTTCAGAACAATATGTGAGTTTAGGGCTACTAAGGTTTTACTTTTAAAAGATGGTTGTGCAGTTAATGCTAACTTTTCACCAAATATTTGTATTCATTCTTTCATAATAGGTTTGTGAGGGGCTGGTTCACACCCTACCACAAGCAAAAGAAGACAGTTAGCCCACTTATTGCACAACAGATTAAAACGCAAGCAAAAATGTAAGTCTCTTATTATGTATACGCTACCGTTCAAAAGTTTGTGGTTGCTCGGATTGTTTAATGTTTTTGAAAGAAGCATATTGTGCTCACCAGGTCTGTATTTATTTGATCAAATATGCAGTAAAAACAGTAATATTGTGAAATATTATTACTTTGATATAACTTATAATTTTAAATAACTTTTCAATTTTAATATATTTCAAAATGTAATTTATTTCTGTGATTCAAAGCTGAATTTTCAGCAGTCATTACTCAGCAGTCTTCAGTGTTACATGATCCGTTAGAAATCATTCTAATATGCTGATTTGCTAATTATAATCAATGTTGAAAACATTGTGCTGCTTAATATTTTTGTGATACACCATGTGTCTTATTCATGTGAATTTTTAACAAGGTTCTTATGATAGGATATATCCCTATTTTCCCTCTCATCTCCTCCAACAGGATTCTTGATGCCGTGGAGAGCCAGGTGCAAGAGGTGAGAGGAGAGATGTGTCTGCTGTACTTAGACTCTACAGTTCAGGAATGGGTGGTTCAACACGTCACCCCAGTGCTGGAGCCACTGCACAACCTACTGAGAGACACTGAAAATGTTTTAAATGAAATGGGACTTTGTACTGAATCCATATCTTAAAGTTGGTCAATGTTTCATTTGAAAACTTTCTTTGGTTGCATTCAAGCTAGACTGCACTTGCAGTGCAATATAAAACAGAATGAAACAACTTAGAAAGCTTGTGTTTGTGAATCACAGTTGTATTAACTTAAAACAAAGTGCAAAAATAATGTTGTGTTTTGTAATATGTAATGAAATATAACATTATTATAATATTGTTTCATTTAAAATGATTACCAACCAATATGTACATAAATTCAACAAAAATCTCCCATTCTGGCTTTCTGTGCTGAATAAATCTTAAAATGTTTCTTTCTTTTTCAGCAGGATTGTTGAATTAATCCATCCACGAATTCCAAAGTGTTTTTTAGTATTATTTATGCACTATTATAGTATTTACTCATATTTTTAATGTTTTAGTTTTTATTTTTATATTTTCAGTTTTCATTTTTTGTGTAGCCTACTTTTGTTCATACTTCTATATAGCTTTAATTAATTTTATTTATTTAACTTAATCTTATTCATTTCAGTTAGTCACACATTTCTCATTTTTATGTAACTTTAAGTTTAGGGGTTTTTGTTTATCTAATATTCATATTTTACTTCAGCTTCATTTCAGCTTTATTTCAGTTACCGACAATTATTTTAATTGTTTTCATTTTTAATAAAAGGAACACTTTTCACAACATTATGCCTGAAAAAAAAAATCCCAAAAATATTATTGTCCAGACTTTTATTTTGTCACATATGGATTTACATGACCGGGAAGTGATATGTTGAGTCTCACCCATAATATTTGTAGCTTACATGGGTCGTTTGTATAAACAAAACGGATCAGTATAGCGTTTTTTGGGAATTGTAAGTTATGTCGCCTCGCATGCGCGTTACTAACACACCGCAACGCTTTTCCCGTCGTTATCAGCGCGTATAAACGCGACCCGTTTAGCGTAACAGAACAAAACGGATCAGTATAGCGTTTTTTGGGAATTGTAAGTTATGTCGCCTCGCGTGCGCGTTACTAACACACCGCAACGCTTTTCCCGTCGTTATCAGCGCGTATAAACGCCGTGCGGAGCGCTAAATAAAGGCATTTAGTGTCTGATCGAAACGGAACTGACTGTTTGTGCTGCGAAAATATGGCAGAGTTGCACGTTGAGCCCAGCTCGACTGGCATCATCGAGCAGACTGAGCATTGTGAAATCAGAGGCTCAGTGAACGTGAGACTCCCCTCGCCTACACTGCTGATTCCGTCCCGGAGTGGCTTGTCCAGTCCAGGGGTCTCCTGCTCCAGAGCAGTATTTGGGTTCCCTATGAAGAGCAACCCCACTTCCCCATCATCAGAAGCCACAGAGAAGCCTGGTTCTCGGTGGGTTCGGCTGAATGTCGGGGGAACATATTTTGTTACAACGAAACAGACCCTGTGCAGGGATCCTAAATCGTTTCTGTATCGATTATGTCAGGAAGATCCAGATCTGGATTCGGATAAGGTAAGGCTCGGGTTACACCAGTAAAGCATGTCTTACTCCTTGAAATGAATCAGTCATCTGTCATTTTTCATGTGTGTAAAATATTAACATTAAAATGGATAAATTGTGGACATACCTGTGTAAGGATCGTCTGTATGTATTTGTAGTGCACCCATTAGGTCCAGTTTAATCCAGTATAAAGTAAATAAAATCCAGTGTAAAGGAATAGTTTATGCAACAGTTATTTTTATTTATTTATTTTTTGTTCATTGTTTACTCTCCCTGGAGTCTTTCTAAACCTGTGTGGCATTCTTTATTATGTGGAACACAAAAGGAAATATTCTGAAGAGTTTTGTTAACCAAACAATTTTGGTTGCCATTGCCTGCCATTGTATGGACAAAACACTGAGACATTTCTCAGAATATCTTCTTTTATGTTTTACAGAAGAAATCGAGTGGATGATTGAATGACAACAGAATTTTCATAGTTTTTTTTTTGTTTGTTTTTTTGAGTGCCTTCAAGATAGATGGGTTTCTGTAGCTGGTTTTTAGATGGTCTATTTTGTCATTATCTGCTGCAAGCTGGTCATTATCTGGTTAACCAGTTACCTTTAAATCCAATAACCACCTTGACCGGCTTTAGATGACCAACTGGTAGCTGATTTGTTGCTGTTTTTCTACCAGGTTGGACCAGCCATTGACATGTTCAGGAACCTGCTTGGCCACCTTCGCTTTTGATAAGTTGGTCGCTGTTCCAAGATAGTATATTAGCTTGCATCAACTGGATCTATACACTAGATTCCATGTTCCAAAACACAGTTGGCAACTAAAAAACTGTAGCAGGGTATACAAGTGTTATTTACAGTTCTGCAGAGGATTTCCTTTCCAAAGTGTCAATTCATGTAAAAATAGCAAACGCAGTTTGAAGTTCAAAAATCACCAGAGCATCTCATTAAAAAAAACTGTTGTTGCTGCACTAATTTACTAAAACCATTCAGTATGTACTTCTGGAGAATGAATGGACTCACAAACAGGGTTCTAGAAATTCTCACGCACTTGATAATCAGGCACCACTTTACCTGCTGCTTGAGTGACGTTAACATGACCTTAATAGAAACGGTGGTTTGTCAAGGGGGTTTCACAAATGATTCAACAATATAACTGCAGTGACCACAACAGTGATGGTGAAGTTAATTGAAAACTGAATTGCAATTGCAACAAGCAGTGTTCACACTGTCGGTTGTCTTTTCTCACAGGATGAGACAGGAGCATATTTGATTGACAGGGATCCCACATATTTCGGACCCATCTTGAACTACTTGAGGCATGGGAAGTTGATCATCAACAAGAACCTCGCTGAGGAGGGTGAGATGATCTGGGCATGCTGCCCTCAAAAACTTCATAATGGAACAGTAATGGCCTAGTTTCATTTAGAAACATAATTTTTGTGTGTGTGTGTGTGGAAACTGGAAAGGGACCTCAGTGTACTCGCGCAAGATAATTTCCTGCAGGACGGGTGGGATATTGAAAGGCTTACAGTCTGTGTCTAAAAAAAAAAATTATTATTATTTTTTTTTCCAAATTGTGACGATGGCAGTTATTGCGTGATGTTTTTTGTTTTTTTTATCAGTTTGGTCTTATAGTTGTGTATAATTTCTAATCATCCTCTTTTATTGGCATGGGTGTAGCTTTAAAAGGATAGTTCTGACATCTTTTACTCACCTCGTGTTCCAAAGCTTTTCTTTGTTCTGTTATACACAAAATAAGATATTTTGGAAAATGTCAGTGTTTTTCTGTCCATACAGAGAATGTCAGTGGAATCCAATGTTGTTTTGGACCCCAGTGATTTTATTGTATGGACAAAGACAGTTGAAAAGTTCTTCAAAATATCTTCTTTTGTGTATCGCAGCAGAAAAAAAGCCATACAGGTTGGAACAACATGAGGGGTGAGTAAATGATAACAGAATTTTAATTTAGGTGTGAACTATGCTTTTAAGACTATATAATTTTCCAGATATTTATTTCTGATTATAAAGCAGTAACCACATGATAGATTTTCACTGATTCTCTGGCCACTGCAGGTGTTCTAGAGGAAGCAGAGTTTTACAACATTGCGTCACTTGTGAGGCTGGTGAAGGAGAGAATACGAGACAATGAAAACAGAACATCTCAGGTATGTGGGAAAACAACAGCCAGAGGAACAGAATACTTTTTGTACTTATATATACTTTTTTGGAACACAGCTCTGCAATTAATTTGCTAGAAGTACTGGGATTACTCAAAAGGGAGTATTTCATTGTCTACCTTCAAGCAGTCTGTGTCTGAAAGTTCATCCGAATCAGAGAGTTCCTCATTCGAGAACTATTTGGGAACAGTGAACCTTCTTCTTTTCAGCTGCCCAACCTTCAGTGTAGACAAGCACAGACTTATAGACATGATTTGAGAATTTACTTCAAAGAAGAGTTAAAAAATCTGTTATTTTCTCACCCTCATGTCCTTTCAAACCTGTATGACTTTATTTCTTCTGTAGAGTGCAAATTATGTTTTGAAGAATGTTCACGCTGCTCTTTTGCATACACCAGAAGTGTATGCTTGCATTATATATAAAAAAAAAAGTACATTCTCATCAATATCTATATTGGCTACACTGAAGAAATAAAGTCATACAAGTTTGAAAGGACATTAGGGCGAGTAAATTAAGTTTTTTTGGGGCGAACTATCCCATTAAAGGATGTTTCCAAAACCTGTGCACCTTCATACAATGATTTATTATTCTGTTTTAGCCCCTAATTCAGAATATTATTGTTTTTACAGGGCCCTGTGAAGCATGTGTATCGTGTATTACAATGTCAAGAGGAGGAGCTCACTCAGATGGTTTCCACCATGTCAGACGGATGGAAGTTTGAACAGGTAGGTTTTGTTTCTCTTCACATCCCCATCATATGTGGTGCTCTTGACCAGTATAGGTGCAGATCCTTTGTCTGGAGTATTGTTGCATCTTTCAAATCAGACATACAGAAGGTCTCTGGATGTTCCTCATTGTTTTAAACTATGTAGATCGTATAGACCGTAGATGCTTCACATGATGTTTTTGAGAAACCGAATATGTCTGCACCTTTCTTTGGGACTTACGTAAGCCAGTGCTTTTGTTGCTTATCTGTTTACTATGGTACAAACTTGACTCAACTTGTCTATCTCTAGCTCATAAGTATCGGCTCCTCCTATAACTATGGCAACGAGGACCAAGCCGAATTCCTGTGCGTCGTTTCCCGGGAGCTCAACAACTCCACTAATGGAATTGTTATCGAGCCCACCGAGAAGGCTAAGGTAAGATGAACACTTTTTCATATTACCTTATTTAGTATAATTTCTTTGAAAACTTTGAAAACAAAATATGTGACCCTGGACCACAAAACCAGTCATAAGGGAAAATTTTTTTAAATTGAGATTTATACTTCATCTGAAAGCTGAATAAAGCTTTCCATTGTTGTATGGTTTGTTAGGATAAGACAATATTTGGTCGAGATACAACTATTTGAAAATCTGGAATCTGAGGGAGCAAAAAAAATCTAAATATTGAGAAAATCGCCTTTAAAGTTGTCCAAATTAAGTTTTTAGCAATGCATATTACTAATCAAAAATTACGTTTTAATATATTTACAGTAGGAAATTTACAAAATATCTTCACTGAACATGATCTTTACTTAATATCCTAATGACTTTTGGCATAAAAGAAAAATCAATAATTTTGACCCATACAATGTATTTTTGGCTATTGCTACAAATATACCCCAGCGACTTAAGACTGGTTTTGTGGTCCAGGGTCACATATAATACTTACTACTACTAATTATTCTAATTATCATTATTTTATAGCCATATTGATATACAGTCACAAAATTTTGGCCAAAATGTGCAGCCCTACAAACAAGCACAGCAAATCTAAAAAGTTTTTTTTTAATCACATTTAAATAGCATTTTAAAAATGTTATCAGAAAAATCGCGATTGGATTTACCCCAAATCTTTAACAATTTTTTTTATTATTATTATCATTATTTTTATTATTATTAATTGTTATTATTTTTATTATTTTGTTACAAAAACATATCAAAGAACTGTTTAAACAGAATAAGGTACGATATAATAATAATATAATAATATTTTATAGCCATAATAATATATAATCACAACCTGATTTTTTAAAAATAGCATTTTAAATTAGATTTTTCTTAAAAATGTAAATTAAAAAATTTAAGTTTTCCCCCAAATTGTGCAACCCTAATAATAATAATAATAATAATAATAATAGTAAATAGAATAGTAATAATAATAACACTATAAAAATTATATAAACTAAAATAATATATTATTATTATTACATTTTATTACACAATGTTTACATTAAATCATTAAATAAGGTAACATATGATAATAA